TTGTTAAGAAAGTTTTTCTGCTTCTTTTTTGTTGCAATAATAATTCATTTTAGTTTCTTCGAATGTGAGAAATTTTTTAGTTTTTCTTTTTTTTTTTGTAGCTGTTGGGAATAATTATTAAATTTTATGATACGCATAAAAATATTTCAAATACATTTTATTATCTATGCGATGCGGTGGGATGCTATTGTGCGCGAATTCATTATAAATTTAAAAAGGTATTTGCACAACAAATATTGTTGAAAAAAATCTTCTCAACAACAATAGCAAAAATATCAGCGGATATTCATTCATTCGTATTCGTATACACGAATACATAAATGTATTGGACTTTCATTCATTCATGTTAAATAAGGTTATCCCCCAAAACAGACTTTTGCAACAGTATATTATATTTGTAGCCATTGTAACTGTAATGGACTCTTGAGAGCTTTTATTTTTATATGCTTACGCACACACAAGCGAGTATGTGCATATGCCTCACGACGAATAAATGCCAGAAACGGTTTGGCTTTTGGAAGCCAAACAAACTTACATTAGCTCTAAAATCATTCACGTAACGCCCACAAGCATATTTTTACGCCTATCACCGAAGGATTAGAGATATACTCATATACGCCCAGAGGAAAGCATCAGAGGTACCACAAAGTATATGTGTATTCTTGATCGGTGTCAAATTCGGAAACATTTTAAGCACGTCCGTCTGTCCAGCTATGTAATACCATTCGCCTGGCCTCAAAAATGAAGCTATCAACTTTGAGATTGCACAAGAACATTGGAAGTTCTTGCACGCAAGTACCTCTTGACAATGGGTTGAATCGGTGGTAGGAGACGTTTCCACCAGCACGTAAACTGAGAGCACCTCTGCTTTTCAAAAGGAATAAAAAATTGATGTTTTACTCGTTGCTCATAAGCTGTAGCACGTAAGTGTAGAGAAATTTGAACGAATATTCTGTGGGTGATGCCGTAGTTCCAATGCTAAAATGGAAGAATTGACCATACAAGCATGAAGGACATGAGGTAGTCCTAAGGTAGTCCAAATTTCAAGAAACTGCGTCGGTGTGATGGTTCACTACTACCTCGGATCTATATCGGCTGCAAAGGTGCCTTTTGCTCTTTTCTTTATTATTTACGCTTTGCTTTTTATTTAATGTGACCACTCACTCAGAGAATGTCCTCTACATGTGTAACGATGGGATGATCAAAAGTAGGGAAATGGGGATTAATGGAGGTGATCAGATACTAATGCTTAGCAAAATATTTATTTTTAGAGTCTACTCTATTTATTTGGTTGTTTCATTTAGAGCTGAATTTCATTTCCCTCCATTTATCTGTATGTCCGTCTTTTTGTGTGGCTTACAATTACGAGAAATGCAAAGTGAAACGCAGTGTTTGTCACTAGTTTTCAAGCTGTTTACTAGCAGAATATCTAATGCAGTCAAGAGTTGTGTCATGTCTTTCCACTAATCCGTCTACTAATGCTTGTGAACTTAAAAAAGGGAAGAGTTGGCAAAAGCTACAACACTCTACTTTCCGTAAATAAGTTCCTCTTAGATTTTTTTGTAAATAAAACCTACGTTATTCACACTCTGGTGGTACGAACTCAGGTTGGATTCGAACATTATTTTTAACATTTAGCGTCATATGGCTTTTTTCACGATATGCCCTCTACACTTGTCACACGGTGGCGTTCAGAAAGCAGTGGCGAAAGAGATAGGAGTATAGGATAGCTGCAGCCTAGAAAGTGTGCGAGTAATCGCTAAATGCTGTACCTTTACTGAACCCGCGAACACTGACTTGATAGTCGCGATTCTTACCTACTCGCCTACTTATGCGGGTAATATATGAACACATGAAGTTTGGCGGACTTCGCCTAGAAGTAAACTCAAGTTCGGCGAAAGGGTATCGCTTGTAAGTCTCATGTTTCTTACCGAAATCGGGAAGACAAAGCTCTCGCAACATGAAATAAGTATCTTTTATTTATTTATTTATTTATTTATTTATTTAATTATTTTCTTGTTTTTTAAGAAACAACGAGAAAAATGTTAAATTGTGAACCGGATTTTAACAAACGTAAAGCTGCGTGTGGCTCTATGAGTCGAATTTATCGCCGTTTAAGTTTTACGAAGACACAAAAAAATTTTTTTTTTTACGCTTATCGAACGATAACTGCCAAACTAAACTTAAGATTCGCTACTAATACCAATAAATGTCAGCTGCCATATACATGCACAGTTGACATAAACTTCACTTTTTGCGCATACACAACATACTAATGGACATAGATGGTAGACACTAGACTAGTCACTTGAGCATGATTAAATTTTATTTGTGCGCCTCTGGTATGAATAAGCAGTGGCAGCGCTAGCAGCTTGCATGCGTTTCATAAATAAGTTTATGTGAAGGCGATGTTTACAAACAAAAAGTAGCCCATACGGAATTTCGTTTTTTTTTTTTCTCTTTATATATATATATATATACGACGAAACGACAATGAAAGTAATTTGGTCAGTTAGGTGGCATTAAGGCTGTGGCCGTAACCAGAATTTCCAGCGCTAGCTTCCAAAAGTAATTTCAATTTCCTTGGAATCACATACAGCAGCTATAAATTATCAGCATGTTCGTCCATTTGTTTTGTTTACTTTCTTTGACTTAAGAAAAACTCCTTGGAGATGTTCGTGCGAGATGTTATTGCCAAAATCTTATATAGACTTTTTTCTTTATTTATTCTTAGCTTTGCGTTCGGTTTAACCGTTTCACTTTTTGAACGCTTAACATAAATATTGAAAAGATATCGTACACGTATAGGCTTTTCAACGAATTAATATTTGCAAAGTCTGTGTCGGCTATTAGATAAAACGATCATAAGATTAATCAACGATTAAATGTAACACTTATATACGCATAACCTATAAAGATGTCTCATGCGGACCGGTACAGAATACTTGATGTTGTGCAAATGCGTTATCCTATGCATGCGAAGCCTATTAAATATTATTAACCAATTGCTCAAAGGCTTTTCAGTTCAATTCAATGAAAATATTTTCGCTACACCTGGCTTCTTACTCACATTAGAAAGTAAAATTATTGAAAACAGTGCATATATAAGCATGCAGTAAGAGCTTTTCAATGCAATCTCCTATCATTTGCACACACCTTTTTAACCAAGAAAAACATCTTGGCATCTTATCATAATTTTTTATGATTCAGATTATATTAAGAAATGGTGTTTGTAGTTTTAATCGCAGAAAAATAGTAAAATGATAATAAACAACAACCAAATTTAGCTTTCGAATCATTATAGAGTCTTGGGATTTCCCAAGAGCTGGTTAATTGAATAATAACATCTGCGAGTTTGGTCTCCATAGAAAAACTGGACCTTCAGAGATGTATTGCAAGAAGAGTTGAAGAGAAAACTAACCATTCAAACAGCTTCTAAATTAATCGTAACTGGCGTCGATAAATGCAAAATCGACATATTTACTAAACGTGGTAATAATGGTTCTATGCATTTTTGGATCAAATTCAGCTTTGACACTTCTTTGACACTTCTTCATATTCTTCAGCATTCTTACAAATCTTCAACAATTGAAATATTCACCTTCACTATCTATAGTCTTTTACCTTTTATCGGATAGCTTAACATATACTCTTGCGATAAAAACTTGGTGGTGTCGAGATGAAAACCATTTCGCATATCGTCAACTTTTGTGAATCGTCTATTTGCTAAAAATGCCTGCATCGATCTGGACAAATTGTAATCAGAAGGAGGTAATTTCCAAGCACAAGGCGCAACTGAAAGAATTTCGCAGACCAACTTGAAAATCACTTTATGGGTTGCTTTTGCTGCAGACGGGACCGACTTATCGTTATTATGGAGCAAATCATTTTTCGATTCCCTTCGTTTGTAAATGACCTTCTTTCATTAAGCGCGTCACTTCTTTTGGTTATTCGCGACTCACATCATTTAGATGCACAGAACAGTTTGGTGAGGTTTTAGTTGTTTGCAGCATCCTATCCTATTAAATGAAGCTCCAAAGCATTCATTATGCTTGAGCTTAAAATTTTTTGCACGAAATCTCGCTTATCACTTACCGACTGTTCCATATCTTACTGCATTTTTACCCCAAGCCAACTTAATCATTTTCATAGCTTCGTCTGCAATTTCTTCCAATTTAAAAGGGAAAGCCATATAACGCCTTAACGGCTGCTTGTTGAATTCAATCCCTCTGCACTGATATATATATATACTGAATAACAAGTGGTAAACAATTGAAAATTATCCCATAAAGAACCAACGTCTAAACTATGCGTACCTAAAATTCCGTAAGAAATGAAGCCATCAATTTCAACACAGAATTTATTGACCCATTTAGTGTATTGTATTATCCACTTAAATATTCAAACTGAAGGATGACTTTCTAATTCTAATTTAGTGGGCGTAAAAATTATATTAATTACAATTTGGAAAAATATTACACATAAATGCAGTAATAAGACAACAAAATTGTCGCTCGGTAAGATTTTAAAGCCTAGTGGAGCTATGCTTACATCTCAGAAAAGGAATAATTTGCTGCTGCAATAGTCTGCGATAGTATGAGTTAGCGTTTGAATTAAAATTGTGGCCCAAATAAGTGAACCACAGCTTTTCAGCAATACTCTGCACTAATGCCTAATGTATGCGTCTAATGTATGCATAGCCGAACTTTCGTAAAAACTGAACGCATTAGATACGTTTTTGGAGTAGAATCAGTTTCAATACACAGAACTTCGTCACACATCCATTATAAATATTCGCCATCGTCTTGGTTTAATATTTGCAGCACCACTAGACACGGAAACTCAAAAAAAAAAAAAAAAAAAACGGACATGTTTTCTGACTATCTAACAAAGGTCAGTCCTTTAATTCTTAAGATCACATGCGAAATAATTAATTTTAAGGATAGATTAAAAGCTAAACTAAGCGCTTAAACAGACGCCTGTTATTCCTAAACATCTGGTTTTATCCCGTTTTCGCTTTAGTCGGAGAATTTATTTTTTTAATCTATATAAATAAATTATAATAACAACAACAAGTGGCATTAATAAGAGTTTTAGTCATCGTAAAATAATAAAATATAATAATACAAAACTGAAGCTACATAGACAATACTGAACAATAATATTAATATTGCCTGTACTAAGAGTATCTGCGGTATCATATATCCGTACATAATTAATTGGAACATTAACCAATTAGCGATTAGTCTTGTACGGCAAATGTTAATTGTTTACTACGCGAACTTTCGAAACGATTCGGTGTCTTAATGTCCAATATAGCCAAAAGTCCAACAGTTAAAATAGTACATAACAGAATAGTTACTACGATTCCAGCCCAAATAGGAGCAGTAGTAAAGCCTACACAATCGTAGACATCGCCAAATTTATTCAAACCATTAAGCCAAGGCTGAACCTATAAAAAAAAAAAAAATAATTAATTAAAACTAATCACCCATTACATATTGTTATTATAACATGCCTGATAGTCTTTTAACACTAAGATGTCGGTACCATTGGTAAATACTAGACTTCGCGATGAACATCTATAAGAAAATCCTACTGGTGCAGAGGGTATATTATAATCGCCGCCTTTTAAACGCAAAACATCCTTATAGTCACGATGCTCTACCTCTACTGCCTTCATATACCATGTTCCGCGTTTCAAAGTAAAATTGAAGCGTAAAAATAATTTTTCATCACCCACTTTTGAAAATAATATTCAAACGTCCATAGCCTTTAGCTTTCTGATCGTCAAAAGTCACGGCTTTATTGTGCTCTTTCAATACAAACGACTCGCGTGAGATATTCAATTCCGGCGCAGATGTGAGATAAAGTATGGCTTTTCTACCTAAATAAAAAGAAAAGAAAATCTTACGTTTGTTAACCTGAAAGAAGTAAAGACCTCTGATCTTAATCTTAAGAAGTCTTCTTATAGTAAAGGAAATCTTGGTACTTGATACCAAGGGTTTAAGCCCTTAAAAACGTACTTAAACGTTTTTATTTCACTTTCCCATAATTTCTTGCTCATGTATGTATCATTGACTTATGCCTTAAAGGCATGGCAATCGCTTTATTTCAATCCTCAATGACTTCTGATACTATGTAATATTATCTCTTGCTAACCTTGAAACTGTTGCTGTTGTTATTTTATTAGACACGATTAGCCTTTTTTATGATTACTTAAGCTTCCGGGAGCGATAATTGAAAGCTTCATGAGAAATAATCTGCTGTAAAGATAGTTAGAGGGCTAAAGTGAAAGAGGCTTTAACTTATCGCTTTGGGAATTCCAACTTGACAAGTTGTGGCACCAGTGTTCGCCCATCCACCCTATGCGCCTGTGCGATCACTGACAACTCGATATTTTTGTGGTTAAGATGAAGCTTAGAAGCCTTGTTGATGTATGCCATGTGTCTATTTCTCAAAGAATCGGTTTTTATTTTTATGCGACTGTTAAATTTCTTCATAAAGTATAAAAAGTGGTTAGATAACATGCTTTACCCGCGTCCGAGTCTGAGCAATTTCAACAAAAAATCTCATATTCTGCATCTAACCTTTGAAATGCTAATAGCAGAAAATGCTTCGATAACCGTGCCTTTTCCTTCCTAATAAAAGTTATCGTTAGATGTTTTGATCTTTACTTTAGGCGGAGATACTTGGGTCTATCTACCATTGAGGACAATATGCGATGCATAAAGTTTTAACTGGGCAAAGCGAAATTTGTCTTAATAACCGTTACATTCGCTCGTAAATCTGATCTACTAAGTGTTATGACTGGCAGGTATTAAGACCAAAGCCAGCGTCTGCTGATGTACATTCTAGGATATGGGATCATCTATGGTTGAAGACCACTGCACAAACTTTTCTTGCTAGAATATAGTGTGCATTATCTGAAAAAGAGGAAGATCTCGCCGAACAGAATTAAAGTGGTATCGAGGTTCCATTGAATACTTTTAAATGCCGTAAAGGCATCGCCAAACCAGTAAAGAGTTAAGTGTTCTTGATTATAAAGACTGCAGTTTTCTTTTGCTCCTTACTTATTCTAGTGTGCATGCTGTAGAGTATACTTTCCAATCGATGTACTATCAATTATGTAGAGAAACACTTAACCCATTGTTTTGATTACGGGCCAAAAAATTAGAAAAAAGTTCTCGTTCAGGAAATGGTCTTCTTATCTATACAATTTGATGAGCGTGCTTTACTTTACCTGGAATAGCGGCGGTAAATGGGCTGGCAGTTGAAGGGAAGATCTAGCGACATCAGACAAGATAGTGTTTAGTCATTAGATCAAAAAGTATCCTCCATATATGTAGATTTATAAATTTTCGTAACCTGAACGAAGCCAGATTACCCTATAGTTTCCATTAGCGAGACTTTAAGGTCCCTAGTTAAGTCTTTCCCACAGTGTTCTTAACAAAATCAATTCTTGTCCGGATTGAATTTTAAATTTTACGCAGCACATTGCTTACCATCAGCCACATATATGAACGTCTCCTCAGTTTCATCAGTAAGTGGTTGTACAGTAGTTGTGTGCGATTCATCGGTTAGGCTTTCACCTTCTTTAGTTTCGCGTTTGGACAAAAAGTGTGCTTCCTCTTCACGGCCAGCTAATATACCCAATACTTCTCCGTTACCATATATAGCTAAAGCATCTGCATAACCGGATATAATTTCTGAATCGTTTTCTTCGTAAGAACCGCTTAAATTTATAACCTTCGAATTGAGAGACACCGTCGATACGATACATTTAACATTTAGTTTCGTAACGACTTACCTCGATGTTTGCGTTGTAATCGAATGGATCGACTGCTAATGAACGCTGCGGTAGATAAGTCCAGGCGTTATGTTTAACTAATTCTTGAAATTTTGGATATTGTTTGCCATCTAAACGTTTAGTATTATTTCGAACGAATACCACGATGGCTTTAACATCACGGAACAAATCAGCGAAATCATTTTCATTAGCTTCTATTAAAGCGCGAGGCTGCAGATTTATAACTTTCTCATGACCCCAAAATAAATATGGACCACTAAGGTTAGCTTGTGTGCAAGAAATTAGTAACAATGCGAATAAAATAAAAAATATTTGCATAATTTCTTTAATAAATCTCCAAATAACGAATCCAATCTATTTCAGTAGTTAAGGTACAGTGAAAATACGTCGAAAAATCAATAACGAAGTTAGCGGCTGCGTATTCGTTCAAGTAAAGTTGATTTGCTTTTGTGTAATATGTGCGGGTTGGCAAACAGCGATAAAAAGATAGGCGAATAGACAACGTTGGGTGCTCTCGATTTTCTTCACTTATTTATTTATTTTGTTTATAAAATTATTCTTTCAGTTTAACAACTTAACTTAAAATACAATTAAAATATATTAAAAAAGTTGCAAAAATATTTACAAACAATTTTGCTTGCATACGAGCACTACTGGAGATGTTATTCTTAAATGATTTATTGCCTAAAAGAAAAGAAAGCATTTTTTTCTTTGCAATTTTCACTAAATAAAAAACTCAACAGTGCTTACGTTTTTCATTTGGATCTCTTACGCCGCAAGTTCTATATGATATAGTGGCCTTACGTTTCGTATTCACATGCCCGGGAATATAGAGACTAGGAGCCTCGAGCCGACCGGCGGCTATTAAACGTGACATATCCAATTCCAAACGATGAGCTATTGGCCCTTTAAAATGTATAATCATTTGTATGCAAGCACCGTCATGTAATTCCTTTGTTTTCCGTGCATCAACATCTAACATCCATTCGGGTATCCCCATAACAGCTCGCAACTCTTCTAGAAACTGTGCTCTGCAAGAGAATTTATTTATAATATCGTTCAAGTATTTTTTTTTTTTCGCGGCACCTTTAACTTACACTACAAATCTCGGTGGTTTTTGTAAATTAATATATTTGATAACATTGTGATCCGGTTCGATATTGGCACAGGCAAATCGGTCCCCTGAAAAATCAGGGCCAAATATAACAATTGAACGGCCTATAGCGCCTACTTGCCCATCTAGGGGGAAATTAAAATCACTAAACACTTTCCGTTCTGCACCCAAATCTGATAAGAATTTTAAAAGAAATTATTTGAAAATTGCTTGCTTTTATCACACATATGATAGCAACTACCTATGGGACCTAGACGAGCTCCCACATCGCCCACATAGCATCGCAAAGGATTGTCAGAACCACATTCACGTTCATATAAGTCTCTCTAGCGTAAAAGTAGAGAAAGATAATTTTTAGTAAATTTTATTTTATGCAGAATTTAGAGAAGACGGTGCACAAAAATGTACTTTCTTCTCTACACGATGTTATTCATTTTAGCGCGATTAAAGGGCAAAAGCTATATTCCCTAACACATAGTAGTACAATACAAAATTGTCAGCAAAGAACTACTTACATTCAGTGGATCCGCCAATTGCGTATAATAGGGATTCCATACATAACCTCCGGCCACACACCGGGTAATAGTTGGTTTAACGGCTGCGTCAACACCAACCGGATTCACGAAAATTTGCCAATTATGATTGTGAGTCTAAAACGTTTTCATCGCAATAGTTTTTCTTATCGGCACGATTTTAGCTAATTAACTTACCACATTTCTATCGTTTTTACCAGGATGCCTTAGTTTTACCTCGATTACTGTCTCGGATGAGCTTCCATCATTATGTATTAATTGTGTCATTTTTATATAACCATAAGCATAACCGGTGGGATGATGAAACGAGGCAATGGCACGTATTTCACGAGCCTCATTGGGTGAATAACCCCTTTCCAAACTGCTGCAAGCCCAACGTGCGTTACGCTTTTTCTTGTGTATGATTACGGAGCGACCGATAATACTATTCATACCAAACAATGGTAGATTAGTGTCATTAAAAGCTCCTTCAAACTGGGTCATTGCTTCTAATGTTCCAAATTTACCGCTTAAATCTCCCAATTCATATTGCTCTGTGCTACCTTTGCCAGGTCTAGGAGAGATTTTAGGATTTACGGCGAAAGGATTAAAATGACCATAGAGAGTTGATGCTTCACATGGGAAGGCTAAATTAGCTTCGACCGGAGTCTGGGGCAAAACAAGGGAAAATAATTCTTTTTTAAATCATTTTATTAACAACACGTACCATATGTATATGGTAGCCACTATTGTCCTGCAGGCCTTTAAACTGCACCTCTAAATTGCTGATATCATACTCAGATTGTTGGGTCATTTCAATTTTGCCATTAACAGTTAAAGGATCACCATTAGCATACCATTCTTTGGCCACTACCTTACGACGGTAATATCCACTTATCCTTTAAAAATGAATCTGATTACTAAGAATTGATTTCATTAAACAAAGACATACAAAACCATACATACATTGAACAAGCTAAACGTTCTCCTCTCGCTTTAGGGCCAAAATCATCAAAAATTACCAGAGATTTCCCTAAAACATTATGTCTGCCCGAGAGGGGAAGATTCGAGTCCGTAAACATACGTCTGCTTAATTGCTGCGCATTTCTCTTGCTACCTGCTATTGTTAGCAAGCCGATTCGTGTATCTAAAGCACCTACTTGGCACATGGCAGTTAGTTGAGGTTTGCAGTAGTCGTCTATAGATCGATTGCCCCAGTCGACTTTGTAGGGATTGAAAACATTGCCGGCCGAAATGCAACGATTTTGCCAATCATAAAAGTCTTTACCGGGTGCGCTGCTATGTATAGCCCAACGGTGCTCGAAAGTGTTATTTTGTGTAGAACCGTCAGCATGTATTAGATATTCAAATATTACCGTAGTGTCTTCCCAGGGTTCTTCGGATGGCTGTCGGAGCAGAACCCGGCCTACTATTGGATACCGAAATAGCACTTGGGCGGTAAACATCACCTTCTGATATATGCCGTTTTTTTGGTATTGATTAATGGTCCCGCAATACCATTTGCTCTCAGTTATATTTTCCAAATTTGTGCGATTGTATTGATAGATCACTAAACTACGATGAGCTATGCTATCTATACCGCGCAAAGGCAAGAAAACATCCCAGTAGAGACCATTTAGTTCAGAGCTAGAACCTGGTAACTGATAATGGTGGAAATAATGTTTATTACGACTCTGTAATTTACCGCTTAGGTCGCCCACTGGATACTGATCTTGAGTACCAAAGCCAGGAGGCGGTATAACATGTGTTTCGATTTCTTTGGGATTATACAAAGAACCTGTGGAATGACAGTAATTTGGATGGCCATATTTCTGAGGTGTAGGCGGTAGAGTGTGTATGCGAAAGCTAGATACGTCTTCTGCAAATTGCTGAACTGTATGTGTAGAATTTTCGGAGGCAGCATTAATGGAAAAATTTAGAAAAGTTGGATCAAATTTCGATCTCTGAGTATATGTTACATCACCCTTTAGACCAGCAAAATTCACAAAAGTTCTGTAACGTAAATCAATAAACTTTTTGCTTGTGAAGGCCTCACCTTTTGCTTATAAACGAGACTCACTTGTACTTCAATGGCATGACATGACGGATTTTAGTACAAGCCAAATAATTCTCGGTGTGCTGATCTTCAAATAATACCAAATAGAGAGTACGATGTGGTATCGTTAAATCGGAGGGTAATAAAGCCAATTGTTCATCCCTGTAGACTACCCTCTGCGAAGAACGCAAAGCGTTTTTGGCGACCGGTATTTTACCCAAACGACTGTCTAAATCTCCTATACCTTTGCCTTCGCCATTGCCACTCGGATCAAATACCAATTGTAGAAAATTGCAATTATCCTCAGTGCGATGATGATCATTTTTAAAAATATCGGTTACGAATATTTTCCAATTATGTTTAGTCATTGGTTTGAAAGAGTCAGTAGGCGAACGCAGCGATTGTATGTGATATAGATCTGCATAAATAAGAGTATCTCCAGCTACGCCATCCAAAGGAGCTAACCACCGAAAATACACTGATCCCGCTATAGGTGTATGGAATCTAGCTTCTGCCATGTGTTCGACCGACATTTGTACGGTGGTAATGGTGGCGCAGACGCGTACGTTACGTGATATTTCGGTTAACACCAATGACTTACCCCAGATACCTTTCTCGCCTTGAACAGTAGATATTTCCTTTATAAAAAATTTCCTGTTACCATTTTATTATTTTCTCTTACCTATCAACTGCATTTCCTTAACCCACAACGACGTTTCATTTCCCGGTAGTATTATATATTCAAGATCGTCATCAAATCCAACAACTTGTTCACCCAACTTTGACAGCTCGCAACGCTCGTTGGTATTCGCATTATTGTAATCGACAGGAAATTTACGTACCATCCAACTCCATATTTGATCGGGGTATTGAAGAGTTGTTTCCAAATCGCTTTTAATCTCCACATGAGTATTATTTATTTGACGAAACGTTATCTCACCATGTAAACCATGCTGCGACATGTATGCAATCATATGTTGAGCTGAAGGAATGCACGCAAACGTAAAACATATCTATTATTTAAGTGGTTTACAAATTATACCTACCCGTACTCTGCGTGGCATTTTTCAAGCAGAGCAGGACAAAAAAAATTGATGTTATTGCCTTAATTTCTGCTCTAATGAACATTTTTACGTAATTTTAAAATTTTTTAATAACTAATTTCAAGTATTTTCTTTAAAAATTACTTTCACTTTTACATATTTATAGTATTATAATGTTTTACAAGTTTCGTCTAAGAAATGCTCTCTTCTTGAATATAGCGTACGGCGCTAATTTATATTATGGAACGTGTTTGCTTGAAGTCTTGATTGCAACTAAACCAGGTTTTAAATATTGGTACCAATAATGCGTGTACAGCTAAGCTAATAAGAAAAAAAACTCATTCTCCCACTCAATTTTATACTCTTTAACTCTCCTAGGTATGGAGCATTAAATTTTGAAGAAGTTTGCGCATACTTTCCTCTCCACATTAGAGTTAAGCAAACTTTATAAAAAATTGGTGTGCGATGAGATGGGTGAACAATCCTTACGGAAATTAAGTTGAGTTTATGGGCCGATTTGAACCAACAGAAAAATTTAACTTAACGTATGACAGAGATGTAAAAAAGAGTTCAAACCAGTTTTCAAACCAAGATTTTGCCAAGAGATTTTGCAAAAGCGTTTCATTGAAACGACAACAAAATTTAACCACAGAGTAAAATTATAGACGATTATCCTATATATGGTTAATATTTCCAAACACATAGGCAATAAAATTGTTTGTATTTCGCTCCCGAAAAGTATGCACAATATTTTACACAACTCCATTGATCAGGATTAAGATAATTTTTAAAAGCAATTTGGGCAATCATTTTCTTAATGAAACGAGCAATAATTGGAAAAACTGGTTAATCCTAGTTGTGACTAAACTTAAATCCGTGTTAATCTAAAATTAATCATAGACCATAATTAAAAACAAGTATATTTTTCATTTTTCCTTTATTTACTTCAATCAAAAAAGTAGAAATGTAAATGGAAAATAAAACTTATTGTTTCCACACTTGGCTTTCCACAAATAGCCTTGTTGCAATAGTTGCATACGTATTTTGCGTCCCCTAGATAATACAGAAAATATCTTTAATGTTTACTTTGATAGAATGTCTTAAAATAGTCATATTGTAACAGCCTTCCAACCATGGCTTTACGAAGCTGTTAGCCAATGTAAATGCAAAGATTTTTCGTGAGAGAGACTTCTGCTGTTGTCGTACTTTTTTTGACTCATAAATGATATATGCGTTTATTAAGCTTAGGTCCAAAACATAGAATAAGCAAAATGGCCATCTATAAGTTTTATGAGCAGTACTTATCCCTGATCGTAAGAAGTCCACAGTATCCATTGATTCTTTGGTGGTGGTATAATAATGAATTATCACAGGCTTGTTTGTCGTTTTAAAGAATTTTGAGGACAATATCAAAATGCAGGAAAAACGTACAATTGCACACAATGACCGATTATAATGGTGGAGAGAGGTGCGATATATTTGCAGCATTGCTATGGGCAAACAAATTGAATTCTTTGAAATTTTAAACGTAGCGGGTCGGACTCGACCACGTTACAGCCCAGCGATTGCCATGCCATGAATCATGGAATCCTCCAGCTGTTCGCTATCGCGGTCTCCTGAAGGAAGTATCCATCAAAGTCGAAGATTTTCTTCGTGACTATACCACATCAATTGCAATAAAATAAACGTTCTGTTAAACTGATACAGATGTAACATAACTGCTGGGCTATGATAAGAACCGGCTATGTCACATGTATGTGGTAGTTGGTAGCGAATGAGCTAAAAAGCTGAACCAGAAAACTTCTCAAACTTCGTTTGCCTTGTAAAGCATAATTTTCCAACTTGTACTGTTACGATTTTCTTTCTTTCTTTCTTTCATTTTTTCTTTTTTTTCTCTTACTCTATTATTAATTTTCTTTTGGACATTAAAACCCTACATTAGACTATCCAAAATTATTTTTTAAACGAGTCTGCATTTCTAGATTGTTAAGCCTATATAGGTATAGGTGTATAGTGTAAGTGGTTTTGGATGCATAAACAATTCGCATAAATAAGGTGCAGCATTTTTTTCATTACAAACCTTTGATGTCTAAAGTAAAACGACAATGATCCACTAATGGAGCTTTTCATTCGAAGAACTGCGAAGAATTGGTCCTATGGAAGGATCCTTTCTATAAACGATGCTTTTATTTTGTTCCAAATTACTTAAGTGAGTAAGTGAGAAGGTAAATATAAAAGATTCTTTGAATTAAATAGCATGACTAGTAATCATAACGATGGACATAGCATTGCAAAGGGGAAAGCATGTTAAATAAATCATTAGTGATGAGGTTTTTACTCTACAGGTAACCTTTTCAGAGTGTTTAAGAAAGAGAGAAAGATAGAGATAGAGAGAGAGAGAGAATGAAAGGTAGATAATCATGTCATTTTTCATCGCATAAAACATCAAGTAAAGAAAAAGAGTTAGTATTGGAATGTTATATTGATATGATGCACATGATATATTAAATCAGTATATTTTTCATGTAAGAAAGAGCAACAAATAAGGAAGATTGTCAACGAAATGAGAGGATATAAGAGAAAATTCATTAAAAAAATTCATTAAATTGGAGTAATTTTCAACATTTATGAAGGTTTCTATCATATGCAATAATTATATTCTCTATCACATAAAAGAAACTAGGAGCATGAGATATGAAATACGAAAAAATTCTGTATAGAAAGGAGTAGAACTCGAATGGGAAAAGAATACGAAAAGTATTAAGAGAAGATGCATAAAAAGAGTGATTAATTTCTTTATTTGGAACTAAAAAGAGAACAAAAATCATAATAATAATAAATAACTGTTATTATTAATAAAGTAGAAGTAGTAGTGAGGCAATGAGAGATTGCTGCATACACTTTACAAGAGGATAAGCGAGATATGAATGCAAATTGAGATTTGAAATGTTCTAAGCGAACATATTATATCAAAGTATGAGTTGCAAATGTTTATATGATCGTTAATAGGGGTATGAAATGTGAGAAAATTGCAAGTATATTGCATTGCAGAGGGTAAGTCACAAAACGATGCATGTTATGGCGAGTTTCTTGTTCCAGAAACAAAAAAACAAAACAATATGGTAGATAATTATGATGAATAATATAATATTTTAAGGGAACACATTTGTTTGGCGCATTTCAATCTCTATTTACAACGTATTTACAAAAAAAAAAAAAAAAGGAATTATAAATAAAACAAAATGCTTGTTTTTTCTTTGGCCACCTTAATGACCCTTTGATCGCGTTTGTTTTATTATTAAAAGTCATCCTCATCATAAACTAAATACAAATTCTTTGATTTTTTTTTTGATCAATCAAGTGTTCCTTTAAAATAGTTTTTTTAAAAAAAAAAACAATGATTAAGTTGTTGTTGAATTGTCGTTTGCTGGTATTTTTTTTTTTTTTTTTTTTTTTTTTAAAGATAACCTTAAAAAATAGAATGGATTTTTTATAATAACCATTTAAAAATTTACTGACTAAGTTCACACAATATGGTTGGTTTGGTTGTTTGTTTTTCTTTCTTTTTTTTTTTTGCTTTTTTGGTTTTGTTTTCTTGATAGATGTTAATCGATAAAGTCCACTTCTCGTTTAACTTTCTTTTCTCGTTTAATCATTACGTCCTGTTATCATGTTTAAACGAATCAATTGAAATAATTTAAGTTATATTAATATAAAGTGAGTATTGAATATTATATAACTTTTTAATAAAATATATTTATTGGGTTAGGGTGATTTGAATTTATTAGGCCCATTTTTTTCTCTTATGTTCGTTTAATCATCACGTCCCGTTGATTAACATTTAAACGAATCAGAAACACATTAATAAAAAGTTTTAAAAATGAGTTAATAAATTGAATATTTGTTATATATATATATATAGCTTTTTTCCATAAATATTTAAATAAAAGACATTTGTAATCATGAGTAAATAAATTGCTTGATAACTCCATAAATATTTTTTAACATTCGGTTCCTCCTTTGAGTAATACAACAAGTAACGAATAATATTAATAATTGAATCCTTTGTTACATAAACAAAAATGAACTCAAAAACGAACGATAAAGCATTTTTAATAATATAATGATATTAATTGAATAATAATAATAATAGTCATAAGACAATAAAAGTGAAAGAATTTCATTGATAAACAATAACTAGGTAAATATATGAATAAATTGAAATATATGTTTGTAATATATAATGAAATAAAAACAAGCATGCATAAAATATTGTTTTGATATAAGTAAATAACTCTCATATAAATTTAGTTGATACGCGTACATAATATCATATGCTGTATACGCAATGAATCTGTTTGATGTATTATGTTGTTGTTGTTGTTGTTGTTGTTGTTGTTGTTTCTTCAATTATCTAAAATTTCCTTTTTTTAGTATTTTTTTAAATATTTTTTTAAATAGTGTCTGTCTCTCTTTGAAATGAGTTAAAGCGCGTCTCAAGAAATTTCACGTCTCTCTTCCTTAATGAAATGTATCGTGAAATCGTAATTTAATTTCAACAATACATTAAATTGACATATATATAACGATATCTAAAATATTAATTTTTTGTTTGTTCTTCTTGTTATCTATTATCATATATATAAATTAATAAAAACTGTGCCTTTTATTATTATTATTATTATTATAGATTAATGTATAATAGTTTCTCAAATCATTCCTCAACAAAACATCAAAACATTTATAACAAAAAAATAAATAAATAAAAAAACAGATTCAAAAACAACCCCTTTACTTTACTATTACAAGTAAATGAAGTAAATGGTGAGAAAAGAAGAGAAAAAAAGTGTTTTGTTCAAATTTTCCTCTATTTAGTCTTTTTCATTTTTTTTTCATATATAATATTTTTAATTAATAATTATAAAAAAAAACATAAAAAAAATTCCAAAAAAGAGAAAAATTAACTACAAGTTCGCCTGTTGAAAGACCCACTTTTGTTGTGTCACTGCTCTTTTTCCTTCTTTTACCATCTCCGTAGCAGAAAATTCTGTTCTTGCCTTCTAGTCTTCAAATTTTGCTGACGATGATTTGTTTCAAGTTTTTCTTTCTTTGTTTAAAAATTCATTTTGTTTTTTTTTTTTCATATATTAAAACAAAAAAAGTTTTTCGTCATATTTTTTTTTTAATATTTTTTTAATTTTTTTTTTCAAAGTTCTTATCAAATAGTGTTTTCTTTTCTTTTTTTTTTTTTTTCTTTTTAATTGGAAGTGCTTGGCTTATTTGGGTTTTCTTCTCAAGTGTACAAAAAAAAAAAAAAAAAAAAATGTAATCGTTGTTCGTGTTTGATTTAAGCACCTTCCTCGCCTTCTTCTTCCTCTTCCTTGCCGGTAAGC